CGATTCCTGAATGGCCCCGAGGCCCGAGAAGGGCCCCGAGAGAGGCCGAGATCCCTCCGCGACTGCCTCCTGCTCCGAAGGGGGGCCCGGGGCCCTGGCGGCGGTCCGGCCGAGAAGGCAACCGCTGGCCGGCCGCGGGTCCGCGGGCGCAGGCCGCTGGCGGCAGGGGCGGCGGGGGCAGAGGGCGTGGCGGGGGCAAGCTGGCGGGGGGCGGGCGGGCGGAGGGCGGGAGCCGCCCGGGTGGTGACTCCAGGTCTCCCCTGGTTCGCAGGCCGCCCTGGTGGTGATTCCAGGTGCCCCCTGGTGCGCAGGCCTGGGTCAGGGGAGGAAGCAGCACCAACCCCGCCCCTCTGGCCTCGTGTTTTCGCTCTGCTGGGCCTCCGGGGCGGCCCTCGCCGCCACGGCTGGGTGTTCGCCCCGGAGTTCTGGTCGGGACGCACCCCGGGAGAGGCCAGGGGGAGTAGATCGATGTCGATGCTCTTTGGCCTCTCCATGTGGCAGCGGCGAGCGCGGCACCGCGCGACGCCGCCCACAGACAGGGGAGCGTGCTCGGCCACGCGCAGAGGGGGATGGGGGGGGAGGGCTTCTTAGGAGCACCCCCTGCTTCTCAGAGGGCGCGGGCCTCGTCTGTAGATGTAAGGCCCGGCGCCTTCTGAGAAGCAGCCTCCCTCTAAGAAGCCCTCCCCCCTCCCTCCACCCCCTTGTGCGCGCCGCCCATTTAAAACCAGCGATCGCACCTCGAACCTCGCACCTGCGAACGCGTCCGAAAACCGCGAACCTCGAGCCTCGAGCCCGAATGCTGCGCACCTCTTGGGGGGCAAACTTCTGCCGCCTCCGCCGAGCTTCCGACCCGCCTTCGCAGCCGCGGAGCGGAAGCGATCTCACTGTCGATCTCACTATCGATCACCACGGGCCACCTCGGGGCACCACATCGATCTCAGTATCGATCTCACTATCGATCTCACTTTTTAGGGCACCACGGGACACCACGGGACACCTGTCGATCTCGTTATCGATCTCACTATCGATCTCACTTTTTGGGTCACCACGGGACACCTCCGGGCACCACATCGATCTCAGTATCAATCTCACTATCGATCTCACTATCGATCTCACTACCGATCTCACTCAACGGGACACCATGGGACACCACGGGACACCTGTCGATCTCATTATCGATATCACTATCGATCTCACTTTTTGGGACACCACGGGACACCTCGGGGCACCACATCGATTTCAGTATCAATCTCACTATCGATCTCACTATCGATCTCACTCGACGGGATACCATGGGACACCACGGGACACCGCGGGACACCGCGAGCCACAGATGGACGGACGGACGGACGGGCTGGCGAGGGAGAATCGTTTGTCTTGACTTCGCCCCAGCAACGGCGGACACCACGAGCACCACGGGACACCTCGGAACACAGCGGGACGCCGCGAGCCACCGCCAGACGGACGGACGGGGAAGAATCATTTGTCTTGATTTCGCCCTAGCAACGGCGGACACCACGGGACACCACGGGACACCACGGGACACCGCGGGACACCGCGAGCCACCGCCGGCCGGCCGGACGGACGGGGGAGAATCGTTTGTCTTGACTTCGCCCTAGCAACGCCGGGGTCATTCCCCTCGCGCGCCCACGCAGCTTCGCCTCGCCCGCACGCACGGCACGAACGAAACGAAACGATTTCCCGATTTGGGGGTCTCCGTTCCACTGCGATCTCACCCCCCAACCTCTGATGTGTTATGGTATTTTTGCGTACTTTTTGTTGTTTCCCTCCCATATCCCCCTGCAGGGGAGACACGCCCGACTTCAGTGCAGGTTCTCTCCTCGCTTTCGGGCTGCCGGGGCTCCCACGACTCGGGATCGACCCGGGATGGAAGCCCCAGGGACCAGGGCCCGTCTCCACCAGGGCGGCTTTCTTCGGGGACCCCTCTTAAGAGCACCGAGGGCCCCTCCCTGGGGGCATTGAGGGCCCTCTTGGGCGGGTCTTTGAGGCATCTCGGTTCGTCTTGGAGGCTCTTCTTAGGACTGAGAAGGCGAGCGTGCGAAGCTCGCAAAACACCATGAATGACTTGCGCCCCTTGGGCAAGCCCCCAGGGTGTCGAATCCGGCTCAAGGGGCTTCAAGAATAGCTTCCAGGACGGGACGCAAGGGATCCTGAGGCTTGGGAAAGTAACGACGACGCATCCTTGGCGCGCCAAGAGGCACCCTGGAGCGCCCAAGAAGTCTGGGAATCCGGGGCCTGGGAACTTTGAAATATCAGTAGCTACAAATACTCAGCATTGCGAACTCGGGGGGCTCGAGGACACTCCACCCAGTGCCTACGGTACGGCGGCGCATACTTTGACCGATCCACGCGTTTCGTGCCACACGCTCGCGGGAAGCTCGGACGTCGATGATCCGAGTTGTGTTACCGAGGGCTACCTTCGCCATCTCGAAGCCTGTGCAGAAGTCGGACGGGGCTGGGACGAGGATGAATCCGCGCCGGAGCGTTCCAGGATGCTCTCAGAGCGTTCGGGGACGCTCCGAGGAGGCCGCAGCGCCCGAGACGTCCTCCAGAGCCGCAGGGGCTCAGAGGTTCTCGATTCACTCTCGCCCGATGTGATCCTCGTCCTGACGTCGTCTTGCATCGGGACCCCGGAGGAGGAGGAGGAGGAGGAGGAGGAGGAGAACGAGGGGAGGTGGAGGAGGAGGAGGAGGAGGAGGAGGAGGACGAGGAGGAGGAGGAGGAGGAGGAGAAGGAGGAGGAGCCGCAGTGGCAGACGCACTGCGATGGGGGTGCACCAGCGGGCTCAGGACGCGCCTCGCCAGGGCGAGAGCGGATGACCACGTGCCCTCCCGGCGCTCGGCTCCGCACGGGCATCCCACCCGTGGGCTTCTGCGTGCTCCCCCTTCGCAATGAACCTCCAGCCGGTTACGCTTCCAGCCTGCCGGTAGGCAGAGTTGCAGCAAAACAGCGTTGCACAGTAGCGTCGCGTCGCGTCGTGTCGACTCGGAAACGGCCGCTCGTTCAAGGTTGAACGATCCCCGTGGTGTCAGGAACCTGCGCCGAGGCTTCACTTTTGCTCAGGTGCGCGCGGTACAAGACAAGCTTCGGGGCTGCAGGCTCGCATCGTCGAGCTGCGTTTCTAGGGGGAAAAGGAACCAACGCCGAGGTCCACACGACACGAACCTGCGGTAGAGAGGTCACCGTAGCTGCCTCGATACGCCCGTTTTGAAACGCAACACGTGCCGTGCTTAAAACGTCCGCGTCACTGCGTTGCGTGCTGGCTCAGCGTATTGGCCCACGTATTGGCGAGCGTATCGCGTCATACAGTCGGCCCGGATTACTTGGTCGACCCTGCCAAATCAAGGGTACCTTTGTGTCCTGTGTCTCGCGACCCGTGCCTCCTGCATTCCTATGGCAATGTGGCCCCCGGAAGGGTCCAGTGTCCTCTCGCGTGTCCTCTCCAATCAAGCCCGATTGTACCTACGTTTTCGGTCCACGTGTTGAGCTCCGCATGGATGCGCCACGTGTGTCGTGCTGCGTGCCGGGGCAGCCAGAAGGCCACGAGCGAACTGTCGCCCGGCGCGCCGCGCAGGCGTCCTGCCGCGCCCGTTCGTGGCCCTGCACGCCGGGGCCTCGGGGTCCTTGCTGGCGCGCCGCTCCGGCTCCAGAGTGCGGAGGGTGCCGCTCGGCTACACTCAGGAGGAGAAAAAACATAGACACAACGAATCGTCGATTCCCCAGAAAAGATGGGCAAGTATGGGAAGTGGGGGGAAGACAATAACCAAGAAAGTATGGGAAAATGGGGAGTCCTGTTATTCGGGCGTATTTATGTGTGTGTTGTGTGTGTTGTGTGTGTGTGTTGTGTGTGTGTGTGTGTTGTGTGTGTTGTGTGTGTTGTGTGTGTTGTGTTGTGTGTGTGTTGTGTGTGTTGTGTGTTGTGTGTTGTGTGTTGTGTGTGTTGTGTGTGTGTGTTGTGTGTGTGTTGTGTGTGTGTTGTGTGTGTGTGTGGGTGGGTGTGGTGGGTGTGGGTGGGGTGAGGTGGGTGTGTGGGTGTGGGTGGGTGTGGGTGCGTGCGTGCGAGCGTGCGTGCGTGCGTGCGTGCGTGCGTGCGTGCGTGCGTGCGTGCGTGCGCGTGCGCGTGTGCGTGTGCGTGCGTGTGCGTGTGCGTGTGTGCGTGCGCATGCGCGTGCGCGTGCGCGCGTGCGTGCGAGCGTGCGTGCGTGCGTGTGCGTGTGCGCGTGCGTGTGCGTGTGAGCGTGCGCGTGCGCGCGCTTGTGCGTGTGCGTGTGCGTGTGCGTGTGCGTGTGCGTGTGCGTGTGCGTGTGCGTGTGCGTGTGCGTGCGCGTGTGCGTGTGCGCGTGCGTGTGCGTGTGCGTGTGCGTGTGCGTTTGCGTGTGCGTGTGCGTTTGCGTGTGCGTGTGCGTGTGCGTGTGCGTGTGCGCGTGCGTGTGCGTGTGCGTGTGCGTGTGCGTGTGCGTGTGCGTGTGCGTGTGCGTGTGCGTGTGCGTGTGCGTGTGTAAGTGTGTGTGTGTGTGACAGTGTGTGTGTTGGACGGGCTCGACCTTGTTTTGGGCCTCAAAGGGTATCTGGGGGTCTCCAGAAGAGGAGACGGAAGAGCAGCTAGAGGAAGTGCATAAACGTAAATTTGCGGAGGTCCGCGCGGATCCCTTGGATCGGCGCTGGAACCCCCTCCCCGGCGCGCAGAGCGCGACAGAAGCCGTCGCCAAGATGGTCCAGCGCAGGCGCAAAAGATCCGCGCAAACCTCCGAAACGTGATGCCCATGCCGTTGTTTCTTCGATCGGAGGTCTCCTGTTGAGCTCTAGTCCCACCAGCCCTGGAGCGGAGGTAGTCTACCGAGTTTCCTCGTCCCCCATTCGGTGGACCTCCACTCGGACCTTCGACAGATAATGTTTATGCAAACGTTTGCTCTTCGAGCAGCGGCAGCAAATCGGAAAAGGGAAGCGGCACTCCCAACCGGGCGGCGGCGGCCGTGGCGTCATCGTCGTCGGGGCTGCCAAGGGAAGGCTACGGCGGCCCCCACGACGATCTTGGCCCTGCCGCCAGGAACGTCCTGTACCCATTGGGAGAGGGTGCCTCTCCGCCTCCGTCGTTCCTCTTTCCCCCCTGGCCCCTCGCTCCCACCTCCCCCTCCTCCATCGACTGCCCCCGTCCACTCCGCTCCTTCCCTCGTTTTCCCCTCTCCTCATTTCGCGTCATCCCCATATCATGTTTCGTCGCCCTTTCTCGCCCGTCCTTTTTTCCCGTCACCTTCCTTCATCATACATCCTACTCCCTCCCCCCATCCCTTCACCCCGTTTCCGTCCCCATCTCATCTCGTCCTCCCTCAATCCCTCGCCCCCTCATCCCCAAATGCTTCACCCCATCCGTCCTCATCGCGCTCCTTCGTCCATACTTCATCCTGCACGAACTGCCTCGCCGCAACCTAAGGGTGCGAAATCAGTGCTCTAAACATGAGGGTACCGCCGCCGACGACGTCGTCGCCGCCGTCCCCCTTAAGGTCGGCGGCGCCGGCCGCTAGGCTTTCCCGGTGGGGCGGCCGCCCGCGGCCCGGACGACAGCGCACCGGTTTTCACCACCTCTGCCTCTTCTTCGTGAAAATCCATGTATCCCACCCCCACCCCTCCGTCCCACCCTCCCCCTATTCGATCCCCGTTGCTCCCCAAATTTCTCTCCTCAATCATCCCCTCCCTGCCTCATTGACCTCGCACCACTCCCGTCCGTTCCTGCATTCCCACGCTATGTCCTCCCCACGGGGCCCTTCGCTCCTCCACTCCATCAATACATCCCCCACCATCCACACCTCCCGCATGCTGTCCCACATTCCTCCCCGCCCCCCCCCTTCATACCATTTTCCCCTTGTTCCAAAATATGTCCCTTTCCCATATGCACTTTCGCTCTATACAACAATCCCTTCTCCCACAATCTCCACCCATCCAAGCGTTATCCTGGTTCGTTTTCCTCCTCCTCCTCCTCCTCCTCTTCCTCCTCCTCCTCCCCTCCTCCCTCCTCCCTCCTCCTCCTCTCCTCCTCCTCCTCCTCCTCCTCCTCTCCTCCTCCTCCTCCTCCTCCTCCTCCTCCTCTCCTCCTCCTCCTCTCCTCCTCCTCCTCTCCTCCTCCTCCTCCCCTCCCTCCTCCTCCTCCTCCTCCTCTCCTCCTCCTCCTCCTCCTCCTCCTCCTCCTCCTCCTCCTCCTCCTCCTCCTCCTCCTCCTCCTCTCCTCCTCCTCCTCCTCCTCCTCCTCCTCCTCCTCTCCTCTCCTCCTCCCTCCTCCTCCTCCTCCTCCCTCCTCCTCCTCCTCCCTCCTCCTCCTCCTCCTCCTCTCCTCCTCCTCCTCCTCCTCCTCCTCCTCCTCCTCCTCCTCCTCCTCCTCCTCCTCCTCCTCTCCTCCTCCTCCTCCTTCCTCCTCCTCCTCCTCCTCCTCCTCCTCCACTCCTCCTCCTCCCCCCTCCTCCTCCTCCTCCTCCTCCTCCTCCTCCTCCTCTCCTCCTCCTCCTCCTCCTCCTCCTCCTCCTCCTCCTCCTCCTCTTCATCCTCATATTTTCTCTTTATCATCATCGTCAGCAGCAACACCACCATCACATTCAGTATCACCATCATCCTAATAATTTGTTCATCCCCCTCAACATCATCATCATGAAAATAATCACCATGATAATCATGATCATCAACATCATGTTGATCATCATCACCACCGCCACCACCAACGTCACCATCACCATCACGATCGCCCGAACCGTCACCGCTGCCATCGTCAACGTCGCAACCAACAACATCAGCATCGTCAACATCGTCATCGTCCTCATCGTCCACATCAGCATCCTTGTTTTCCTGATCCTCATCATCCTCAACCTCATTGTGGTGTCTACTCATCGTCAGACTGGGAAAAAAGCCTTTTGGGGTAAATGGGTGCTTGATGCTATTGCACGTAAATGTCGTGCTCGTCTTGGTCACGAAAGACAACTAAGGCCCGGCGAACACAAGACGCGATGGCTGTACTATCCGGCAAGCAGACTTTCGCACGTCTGTGCGCACGCATGTCTATGCGCCGGCTGGCCGAGAGGGAGCGAAGCCGCGCGCGCACCGTTGCCCTCGGGACAAGTGAACGGCCGCGGCAACGAACGGCGTTGAAGGGATGGGCCAGGCGGCTTAAACTAGCGAGGGGAGCGTTAGGAATGACTCCCCCGCGACCTCCCGGCGCATCGCGGCCATGCGCGGGCGGCGGGACGCGCCGAGAGAACATCAACAGGCCCCGAGTGCGCAGGACAGATCCCACCCCTTCCTCAAGGGTCGCTTTGGCCCGCCCACGGCGACAAACCCCAAAAAGTGTTTGGGCGCCAGTGGCAAGGAAGGGAGCACTCCTGTCACCGCTCTATGGGGCTCGCCGAGGGCCACCCCGCGCGCCCCACCCCATATAGCATTAGCGCTAGCGCGTCGCGCCCAACACTCAACTCATAAAGCAGCCAGCCGTTGAATGCCTCGGCGCAACAATGATCCTGGGGCACTACCCCGGGGCTTGCATGGCCAGCTCGGGGCACTGCCCCGACGCCAACACCCCGACCTGTCATCGCATCGCCACTGCCGGCTGCGGGGACCATCACGTTGCGGATGTTTCCAGCCCTGGCCGCGGCCCCACTTCTGCCGGCCGGCAGAGCTCGACAATGGGCTCCGCGAAGCCCAGTGGTCAGCAGCGTCTGAACGCCAGGGGGGGAGCCTGAAAGTACCCATTCCATGTTCCACGTCTGCGCGCTCCTTCGACGCCATGGCGGGGCGGGCGCCCCCCCCGACCCCCCCGGGCAAGCGCGCGGGCGGGGGCGGCGCCGCCGCCAACCGCGCAGATGGAAGCGCTGCCTCCGCCAAGCGGACGCCCGTCCCCCGCGCCTGTCAATCGACGCACTTGGCCCCGAGTGGCGAATCGCACGCAGCGGCACTCGATGCTCCAATTCCTATTTCGTGGGCCCCCAGGCTCGCCGACGCACGGCGGCTCGGCGCCCGGGGCGCGCGCGGCCCCCGCTGCGCCCCAATGCGCGCGCTGGCCCCGGCTCCTCTCGCATGCCCCTGCTCGTGCAGGGCGCGGCCGGGGAAACGGAAGACGCGTCGCTAGGGCGCTCGCTACTCGCAGAGAGGACGGTCCGCCACAGGCGCCGACATCAGGCGGGCCATCGCCGCCGCCATCGCCATCGCCTCGCGGCCCCAAGGCAAGGGCGTCCGCAGGGTCACGCGCCTCGAGCTGGCGCTAGTGGATCCCCAGCTCATCCTCCATCTCTTGCCACAGCTCGCCCAGAGCACGGACGTCGTGGGCCGCGCCCTTCGTGGAACCCCACCGCCCCCATCCCATTGCTGGACAGTTAGCATTGGCATCCGCAGAACGAACGCAACCCCCACCGAAGGGGTCTAGAATGCCAAAACTGACACAGTCACCGCGAATCGAACGGACCATATATGGACACCACGCATGAGATGGGGCCACGGTGTTAGGACCCGGTGCCGGAATTCCCGAGAAATCCTAGCAGTTCAGCCAGCGCGGCCCACGCTTTCGCACTTTTTTCTCGAAGCAAATCATGGATTTCCGCGGGCGAGGTGTCAGTTCGCGATGTTAAGCGCCAGGCCAGGACGGACACGGTGTTGTCAGCGAGTGCTGCATTGCCCTGTAGGGCCCGTTCAAGAAGGAACTGCATCTCTTGGCTAGCACGTGGTTGCTGGCCACGTGCTGTGCGGGTTGCAGACGCGAGACCTCGTGGAAATCGGCAGCTTGCAATGCGAACAAGGCATCGCCCCGAGCAGGTTCCTACACGCTTTGGAACAAACAAGGTAACCGTCGCCCTAGCGCGCCCGCAAGAGCATCTTGTTCTTGTAATACTCCATGGCCAAGTAATCGTCCAGGTCACTCAACCGCCCGAAGAAATTACTGCGCTGCACATCGCCAACGCAATCCGATTCCTTGGTCGGAGTGACCCAGACTCCATTAAAACGACGATCAAACACCACGGTCCGCGACGCTGTCGGGGCCGCTGCATCTGCCGCGATAATCTGCACGATCTGGCAAACGTCGCCCCATCGAGGGCGCCATTCAGTAGTGAGAGACCCATCTGGCAGGGCCGAGAATATCCACGCGTCGAAGATCCGCGAAGACACCGTTGCCAGGCATTGGCCCGACAACTTAACCCAATTATCCACGTCGAAAAGACGCGCGCACAGCCGCTCCGCCGAAAACGCCCGACACCAACCTTTCGGCCGAAGCCATCTCCGAAACCGGTCCGGATGATCGCCCAGGTTTCCAGCCCAGTCTCTTTCAATCAGTGAAATTCCCCCGCTGGCATTATCCTTGCCAAGGGGAAACTGCCCAATTCACAAAGATGGCCGACATATAATTGCAATGTGTTTCCCGCTTATGTCTCGCTCCGGAGCGATCACTCTGATTGCCATGGACTGGGAGGTCCTTGGGAGATCGAGTGAGATGACCACTGCAGTCGGCGCGCGTCTGCCCAGCGGCTTGCATCGAAAGTATACGCGCTCCGGCGAGACCACCCGTGGCGAGCGCCTCTGCGCGGCGCGGAATACTATCGGCCGAATATGCGGCGGCCCTGTGCTAGACCGGAAGAAGGCGCCGCCGTCGCGGAGTTTCCTTCGCCTGAAGCTGTCATTCCAACGCGGGGGTCGGGCGACGGCCGGCTCGTCGTCTTCGACCATGCGCGCACCGTGGGCACGCTTTGCCTGGCTGGGCAACGTGCCCAAGGCACGCAGCAGACAAGCCCGCGGCCGGTCAACGCCTGCAACGACGAAGGCATCGACCTCGCACTTCGCCTCTATCCAGCAACCCGAGCTGAATGCATCGGCAGCGCTGTGCCTGGCCATCTCCAGGAGCAGCGCACCCATCCGCGCGGCTGTTTCTTCGCCAATACCGCTGCACCACGCGCGCGCTGCGATCGGCTGATGGCACCGCTGGCACGAGGCCGCGTACTTTCGCAAGAAGGTATTTTGTCTCCGCCGCGTTACAACGAGCCCGAATGAAATCGCCCACCGCTGGGCGTTCTGCGTCGCCCAATTCACGGAG